ATGTGTCATTTTTAAAGTTTTGCTTTCTTCCTGAATGTTAACTCCCTAATTTTTTCCAACTCCTTGCTCATGATAAATTCCAGAGCATTGCAATATATTACCTCTTCCATGCAACTTAGAATTCACTGTTTCACATCTGTCATTTGAAGATAATCAGGATTCTTTCACTACAAAATGACTAAACAGTGTGTCTTGAAAGAAGCAAATGATGGATTTCTTCTTAAAATACAGAGAGAAAAATAGTGAAAACATGGCATCTAAGACCCAGTCAGGAAAATAACATTAATGGAATCTCTGCATGCAAGCAAGGTTTGGTCCATCCTACCTAATTTGCTCTCACTTGAGTAATATTCTTAAAATAACCGTTAAGTTGGCCCATTCCTTGGTCCCATTTCATGTTACCAAGCCAGTAGCAATAACAATGAGGAAGATAATAGCTAGAGTTTACTGAGGGCTCACTGTGCATCAGACATGGACTCTAGTGCCATGCACACATACCTACAGTGTCCACCACTCCGCATCTGTGCACCTCCACCCTGGCACAGGCCACCATCGTTCATAGCTTGGCCTTCTGGAGTAGCCTCTTAATTAGTTTCCTTGCTTTCATCCATAGATCTTTACCATTTATTCTCCACACAACAGCTGGAATGATCTTTTACAAAATATTTTAGAGCACATCACTCCCCTGCTTAAAACACTTCCAAAAGGCTCCCACTGTACTTAAAATCCATTCCAAGCTCCTTACAGTGACTTTCAAAGCCAAGCCCACTGACCTCTGGGACCCTGTAGGCCACACACACTGGCATTTGCAGACACATTAAGCCTGTGCCTGCTTGGGGACCATGGCACCTGCTACTCCCTCTGCTCTGATCTTCCGACTCCAAATGTCATTCCTCAGAGAAGAATTGCATGATGGCTCAGTCTAAACTAGCTACCCAGTCCCTCTCTATCCTTCCATTTGAATTCTTTATACAGCGCTCATCACTGACTAATATCCTGTTTTCCTATTTGTCCATCATCTGACTCCTTCCCCTGGAATGTTTGCTCCTTGTCTGTTCTGTTCACCAGCAGAATACCACTTGGGACATAGTAGGACCTCTATAGTGAATAAATGAATGAATGAGCAACCCTGTGAGCTAAGAACATTGTGCTAAGAGAGAAAAGCTACATTATACTAAGGTATGAAAAAACCAAGCCTTAGAAAGGGTAGGCAAGTTGCCAAAGCATCAAGCTTCTATGTGGTAAACAGGAATCCCGGTTTACCGGGATGAATTATGAGGAGGGAAGTTACTAGAAGCGGGGGGGGGGGGGGGGAGGAGGGAACAGGACAAGTAAGCAGGCCACTGACCTCTATTATAAAATGAAGAAGAAATGTGATTTACCTCCACCAGACCTCTCTTCAGCCAGGAAAACATTACCAGGCACAGAGATGGCCCCTGCTCCGTGGAGGAAAATAAAATATTCCAGCTGTAGCATCTTCACTGTTTTTTACCTAGTGACCATATCAGAAGGGATCCCTCTGAGCCCATTTTTAGGAGGGCTCTGTGGCAATTATTCTTATCCTTTTGTGGGTCATAAAATCTGAGAATCTGATAAAATTAAGCATCTTTATTCTAGGGGGGGGGGAAAGGACGTTTTACATATAGACTCAGAAGGTCTTAAACCTAAAGTACAGTTCTGATATAGAAGGAACTGTTTAGTGGTTTTGTCAGTAGCATTAAAGAGTTTTTGGGTCAACACTTTCTGGGCAGGGCAGACACATGTCCTCCCCTCCCTGGAGAAGCAATTGAGTGATGATAATATCCTCAGCCTGAGCCTTTCCTAACCTCAGAGAAGAGGAAGCCAACTCCCAGCTTCTAATAATTTGGGCTCAGATTTAAAGGATCACTCCAGCCCCTTACTGATGAGTCTTCCCTTCTTCCATTCAGTAAATACTTGTGAGCACCTGCCGTGGGATGGGGATTGTACTAAGCTCAGAGGATCCAGGAGAGTCGGGTTGGCCCTTGCCTTCATGGAACCCACAGACCCACAGGGAAGCAGAGATGCTCAGGAGACCATGGAAACATCTCTCCTATTTCCATGGCAGTAGGTGATAAGTGAGCAGCATTTAACCAGCAGTGGAGTTAGAGAAATCCAAATCATCAGACTTGGTCTGGCCAAAGGATTTCTGCCTGAGGTCCATAAAACACATTTTCAAACATACTTTTTTAGGTTTTGTTATATGATGCACATGATTTACTTGAATTCTACGGACCATCTGGAACCTGTACTGCTCTTAGACTCTGAAGCCAACTTCTGAAGGAATAGGAATCAGGCTTAATGAAACTGCCTGGAACATTTGATCTTACCTATTTTTGAGCTGCAGAAGTTAGATTTTACTAAAAGCTAAGAGATACCTGGGGCTTTGGGGAGAGGCGAATCCTTCTTCAGCTAAAAGCACTTCCATACTAAATATTTAGAGTATTCATGTATAAACAGTTTATACCATTCAGCCACATCCCCACTATTTAGCTTCAATAAATGAGAAAAGGGGAACACTAATGGATTACATGCTGTAAAGACATGTAGGAAAGACCCCTAAACCATGGTTTGGGGGAGCAGGGAAGCCCCCTGAAAAACAAACGGGAGTTAGCCTTATTTTTGCAGGACTTGGTAATGATATCGATTATATCCAGGCAAAGAGACTCAGAATCAATCCTGCAGTCCACCTCTGCCTTGATGGACTGGTCTTTCATCTGAACAATAACACCTACTGAGTTTCTAAATTTCTAAAAAAATTAATCTAGTATCTCAAGATTCTTCTTTTATCTTTCCTTAATCTGCAGCATTAACAAGTGCTCTAAATTCTCACTAGAGTATAACCTCAAAATGTCTTCCTATTATAATACTGAAGATGGAAAATACATGCTTCTCATCCTGAAAGATAAAAAATGCCTTGAAGGTGGTTGATTTTCCTTGGCTGTCTAATAGGTTATGAATTCAGGGTGTTTATGCTGAAGACCTTAATGCTTAGTCATTAAGACGTTATATCAATTCCTGTGTTTACATTGGCCCTATCGCCACTTTAAAACACTGCTCTAGTGGAATTTGAAACATAAATTGGTACAAGTTCAAGCCAGTTCTAATCCTCAAGTAACCCAGGAGCAGGCCGTGTGGAGTCAGCTCGTGTATTCTCTGTCTGCAATAGTAGTTGCTACCAGTGGCTATATATCTCATTTAATCCTCACACTAACCTCAGGCAGGGGAATCCTTTTCCCCTTGGTTTAGATAAGGAAGCTGAAACTCCAAGGCATGAAGTAACTTATCCAAGGTCACAGCTGAACAGTGACAGAACCTGACATCTGTGTTCTTACAGTGCATTCTGTGAGTTCCTGTAATGTGTTCTCATCATATGTTTACCTCGGTGTGAGTCTGTCTTCGGAAACAGCTAAAAAATAGTTTCTGAACATTGAGACCTACTAGCCGTTCCTTTTACTGGAATTAAATTATATGAGAAACGAATATATTGCAGTTTCAAAAGTTATTTATGGGTCTCGACTTAATTGATCCTGGCGGTTTCTTGTGGGCCTCTGTAAGTCCATGAAATATTCTGAAAGAAAATAATTCTGTTCCTTTTGGGAAATAAGACTGTGTTAACAGTGTTCACTAGAGGGGCGCCTGGGTGGCTCAGTCGGTTGAGCATCCGATTTCAGCTCAGGTCATGATCTTGCGGTTTGTGGGTTCGAGCCCCATGTCGGGCTCTGTGCTGACAGCTCAGAGCCTGGAGCCTGTTTCAGATTCTGCGTCTCCCTCTCTCTGATCCTCCCCTGCTCATGCTCTCTCTCTCTCTTTCTCTCTCAGAAATAAATAAAACATTAAAAAAAAATGTTCACTAGATAACACTGCTGGGATCCAGTTTCAAAAAGGAAACCCATTCCTCAGGAACGTAGGGGTGGACAATTCAGAAGAAACATTGACCTTGGACCACCCTGACAGAACCTACTTTCCCTATAGGCTCTCACCATCCCTACTAGCCCATTCTCCCCCCATCCTCCTGGTCTGTAGTTCCTATTAGGCTGCTCAGAGCATTTGGTGGAGGTGCTCTGTAACCTTGGTCGTGGTTTTCTTTCCAAATCTCTTCCATCCTAAAAGAATCCAGTTGACAAATCACCTCTCCAATAAACCGCTCCTTATGTCAGTAATGATTGCTCTATCATCTGAATTCCTGAGGTACTTACTATTTAGTTCCCCAACCTGAACTTTAAAGGTACTTACTGTTTGTAACAATGGTTAGGATCTTTTCTTACTGTATTATGTGTACGTCACATCCCCTGTCTTCCATGAGACTATGAATGCTCTGAAGGCAAGATCCAGGTATTTACTCATTGGTATCCACTTGTTAACTAATGCAGTGCTTATCACATCACAATTTTTCAGTAAATACTCCTTGATCTAACTGAACGTTTATCTGCCTTAACTCTTTCCTCAGATCCTAATAAGCTTTTTGAGTCCAAGTCCAGGTCTCCTTTATGTTTGGTAATGCCTCACCTAGATACATTCGGTGAGTATCGAAAAATATTACATTCTGAATTTACAGTGGAAATTCAACCTATAATCACACTTCTTACTATAAGGATTTCCATTGTAGGTAAAAAAATTATTTCCATTATATAATAATAGCAATAACAATTTATATACACACTGCAAAAGGAATGGTAAGAATTATACCAAAGTAAGAATTAATAGTTCTCTTTGATGGTAGGATTATGAGTAATTATTTTGTTTGTTTGTTTTTTATATTTTTAAGTTAAATGTACTATTAAATTTTCTACAATGAATAGACATACTTAAGTAATTAGAATAAATTATGCTAAAAAGTTGAAAATTTTGAGTCAGCTGTTTAACATCAAAAACTTTAAAATATTCCATTCCCCTTCAGATGTCATTGTCTTGTACTTGGAGAAGTTCAACTTCACAGTGCTCTTTATTTTGTTCAACTACTAATGACACACAACAATTTTCTCTTGAGTACTTTACACATCCCTTTATTGTCCTTTCTCCTTGGTGACTGGTGCCCAGCACCTCTTGAATTCCTTCACATTTTCCTGTGCTGTAAAAAGGAAAGTCAAGTGAATCAAATGTGTCACTTTCAGATTGGACAATTTTGCAAATAGATTACTGATACAGAGCTGAGTATATCAAACATACCAAATGACACCTTTGTCCAAGGCTACAGGCTTTCCAAGTTGATGAATGCAGCAACTAAAGTTGACACTAAAATGAGTGGGATAATTTTAAAAGCAAAACAAAGATTAAAATAAGAGAAGTGGGCATCCAGAAAATATCAAGAACACATAAGTTTGCCGTATCTACTATTGTCAAGGCGTTGCTATTTGCTGTTGTTGTTATTGTTGTGGTTACTATATATCATTAATGATGATAAATAACATAATTTAACTTTTCTTGAAAAGTGCTCTTCTATCTGTTTGCCAAGTATAATTTCTATTATGAGAGGAGAAAAATCAGGGCTAATGTATGTCAGCACAGACTGTGAACTACTCTTCTCGTATTCGCTGTCTTTGTTAACTTTACTGTCCCGCCTTACCCACCAAGTCACCAAATAAGGTCAGGTTTCTTTTCATGTCTTACCCGTGAACCTGACTCCAGCCTCTCAAATGCCACAGGGAAGGGAATGCAGAACTTCCTGTAGGTTATCCCCCAGCCCAAGCTACCACTGGGACTCTTAAGAGCATTCATGCCTGTTTTATAAACCCATGCTAGTAACTATGTTTGCCTTTTCCCACTCTGCCTTGCAAATGCTACATTGCCAGAGCTTTCATGTCTCCTTTGTCATCACAGAATGTACCACCCTAAATTCCACACTCTGCACAGGTGTGATCCAAGCCTAGGCACGGTTTTCTCCATCTGCCTTGAAGGCACAGCTAAGATCAGTCAGTGGTGTTGGCCAAAGATAGAGTGAAAGTTCAGCATGTGTAGAAGTGAGTACCCAGAATGATCTATTCTTCCATTGAGCTCTCAAACCCTGCCTGCCTGTCAGAGTACTTGCCTGGTCCCTGATGACTGCAGGGCAATAGTGAGCCGGACTCTTCTTGTACACTGCTCTCCGCCCCCTTTGTTGGGGTCTCTAGACCACTTTACCCCATAGTCATAGGCTCCCAGTCCTCTGACTTGGATAGTGAAAATGGTCCTTTCCTACCTCAAATTCAAGGCCCATTCTTCTTTCACAAGCATGACTGAGGGTGGAAACAGCCAGGTCCTTCAGGGGAATCATTCACACCCACTCATGGGTTGAAATCCAACCTCCCTGGTTCAGATCAGGCTATCATGATACAGACTGTGCATTTCCCAAAGTATGGGTTGTTCACTCCTCATTAACTCTCTAACAGTCACAGTGATGCATAGTCCCCTGGTCTACTTCATTTTCCTCTTGCTGGGCAAGCAAGATGAAAACACTTCCCAGACTCCCTTGCAGTTAGGCTAGAACCATAGCTCTAGTCTGGCCAGTAGACTCTCTGTGTGGTCTTCCTGGCTGAGATAATGAAAAGTGCTTGTACCACCACCCTCTACCTCTCTTCTCCTCTGCCACAATGGCTGCACAAATTAAAATTTCCAGATATAAATGGCTTGGATGCTTGAGTCACTCCTGTAAGGGAGCCACCCAAGAGGATTAAAGTTACCTTGCAGAGATGGCTAAAAACTTACCAAGTCCTACTATTTCATAGTCAGCATGCTGGGCTCCAAGACATATGATGAGAAGATTAACAGGTTTTCTGCTTCCACAATCATGATCTTAGGAATTATTTCATGCTAAAAAATTTAGAATTCATCTTAAGAGGAACCATAGAGGTTAAAGGATCTTAAGCAAGCATGTATCTTAATACAGTATTTTCCTTAGAATGATCTCTGTAAAAGACACATGAGAAAAATATTTGAGGGGAAAGACTAGAGGCAGTAATCCAGGGACAAGATAGTGATGGCCTAAAGTAGTATGGGGGCAGTGAAAATAAGTGGAGATTGGAGATGCACTGGGCACAGAGAGAATTGGATGGATATGATAGGTACAATCCACATGTACGTGTAAATTTTAATTCCTATTACATTTTTTTTCCACAAGACTGCTTTATAGAAATTTGTACTTCTTTTTTTTCTACAATTGACAAATAATGTTTCAAAATAACCAAAAAAGAAACTGCCTAGGTTCCAAATCGGCACCACAGTGCTCTCAGCAGCAGGAGCCCTCCAGTGTGAGCTGCTCTCTATGTTCAGAATCATCTGCTAGGCCCTTCGTTCTTCGCAGCATAGGGAAATCCCTGCCTCTGATACAGAAGAGCCTCAAAACTCAAAATGGTGGCAAGACCTGCATGCAGGGCTAAGTAGAATTGTATGATCTTGAAGTAAGAGGGAAAAAAAACTATCTTCGATTCTTAGACTTCTCCCCCTTGGAAATAAGCAATGCATTTCATAGATTTCCCTACCAATGAAGATAGGGGAATGTCACGGATAAATAGTTTCCCTCCTACGCCAGTCCAACATTTCATTTTCATTTTCATTTTTATATTGATGTTTGAAAGTTGATGCCAGCGTGATTTGATAAACTGGAATGCATGTTAACTTCCCATTGGAGGTAAAAGAAGATTTGAATAATAATATAATCAGCACTGGTAACATTGGATGGGAAAGAGAAAGCCATTTTGAGATAGTATGGTGACCCTTGTTAAATAAACCATGGAAATGTCAAATGTTTCTCAGCACCAGAAAGCCAGGGGTTATGATTTTAAAGTGAAAAAGGTCAAAGCCATACTAACAAGAGAAATATGCTCTCTTCGTATAAGACTAAATAGCATAAACGTCAAAAACATCAATGCTTGACTTGGCAAGCTGGGCTGGATTCTTAGGAGAACTAGTGAGGAAGCTGTTACTTGAGGGGAAAATAAACTGGAAGCACAGTACCAGTACCCTCAGTTCATGGGGCAGGGGCCAACATCCCACCTCTGGGCAGCTGACAATGACCAAATGAGGAAGAGATGCCATGTCCATCCAACCAAAGCCTGGGGCTCTCAGCTGTGTGAGATATGAAAGACGTTCTCCTCCTATATGGAAGAGGAGTAAAAATGGCTCCAGGAAGGGGCTGGAGGCACTGGATTAGGAAATTCCAAAGAGAGGGCTATGTGGAAAGGAAGAGACGGTTGGGGAAAAGAGCATTCAGAAGCATAAATCCATCAGTCCTTCCATCACATGGGACAAAGGATGGATTAAGTTACCACCTTGCCTCCTCTCACACTATGATGGGTTTTTGAGGCCTCCATGGCCATTCCAAAAAGGCCTCTATCATAGTTTGAGTTATGTTGCTCTGGAAAGCCCTCGCAGAGGCTCAGGAGACAGGACTGGAGAGCACTCCAACTAAATCCAGACCCTCTTTCTCTTCATGGCTCAGGCAAAAGCCATATCTGTCTTTCAGCTCAAAGAGGCAGCTGGTCCCGTCCATCCCATCTAGGCTAATCACTGAATGAGGTACCTAATGCCAGAATTGAGGCCCCACCTCAAATTTGTCCACAGAAGAGTGTGAATTATTTTCTTTTGCAATACACAGGTAATTAACAATGACCTTTAAAGTTGTTTTTTTCACTTCCTACAAAACTAAATACCTCTCCCATAGCTGACAAGTGGCAACTAGAGAGCAGTAGAAAAGAGGGAAAAAACAACAACAACAACAAGAAAAACCCACAGGGATATCAGAGTGGACATTTGGTGGTGCTGTCACTGACCCTTCTTTAGAGCACTGTGGTCTCCTACGAAGGCAGAATGCTCTGCAAGCCTAGCAAATGCTGAAGAAGAGCCCTTCAGGAAAAAAGAAGAGAAAACAAAATTCACACCAAGTCCTCACGCTGCTCCACTTGCATGGAAAACAGTACAAAGACGAAAATAGAGAAGGCACACAGCACAGCCTAGTAACCTACAGCCCTGCTAAATAGAAAATGCACAGACTCTCCACAGGGCAACTCCATAAAGCCACTCTGGATGCCATTTTGCTAATTGTGTTTGCTATGACACCAAGCACCGCTTAGCTGGGCTCCCAGAGTGTCTCGGTAATGTCAATCACTTGCCAGGAGCAAAAGTGATTTTTATTTGATATCCATACAAAGCAGAAGCAAATGAATTACCATAATGAGAAGCAACATAATGATGTGGAGATGTACAAACTGCCATTGTGTTTAATAACAACAAAGCTTTCCCTTTTGAATTAAATTTGCAGGAAGATTCTTATTGAAGCATCATTGTACTGAAACCAAGTTGTTAAACACACACACACACACACACACACACGCACACTCCAAAGTGTTTCAGGCCTATGATTACTGGAAAGGTTGTTAGGAGAATTTTTTTTCCATTTTTATTCTCAGTAAAATCGACTTAGTTGTAGCACTACACAGCTGCGATTTGTGAAGTAAATGGCAAAGCTAAATGTGCCGAAACCCAACATGCTCCCTGAGCAACAAAGGGATGGAAGGCAAATGTTACAGTATTATTGACAACGCTGGTAATGCGCATATAAGCATCTGCTTCATAAAGGGGAAAAACCTATATTATAAACAAAAGGAGTTTCCAAACAGGGCTTGCCAGCTCAGATTCTGGCTTTGATTTGAATTTTCACTTGTTAGATCAAATATTTCCTCTTTTTTCCCTTTCCTTCCAAAGGAAAAAAAAATATCTCTGATTTGCATTCCGGAAACCTCCCTATAACTGACTCCTCCTTTTTTCATTTCTTTCTACAAAATTATTTCCTATATTTTTTGGTACTTCCCTATTTCCCCCCTCTTGATTTTCAACAATGGATGAAAATACCATTGGATTGCATGGCATTAATCGACACCTATTTTTGTGATTGTTATGAGGGTATCATCTCCTCTTAAACTGAGTCCAACGTGTGGATGGCATGGGTCCTTCCCTTGCCCCACCGCATTACCATTTATATCCATTTACAATAGAACATCTAGTTTTATTAATGTACACACACAGAGCCAAAACATGGCCTGCATTTGATTGAGCCAAACTTAGCCAGATCTGAAGTGCAGTATTATAGGACTAGAAGCAGGGTGCTTTGGGCTGTGGATTCCAGCTCATCATTAAATGTGATGGAGGGAAGTCATCTTTGTGTCTGTCTCAGTTCTCCCAGCTGTAAACTAGGCATGATACTGCATCTGCTCCACCCACAGCATAGACGTGTCTTAAGAATCAAATCCTATTCAAGTATTTTGTAAGCTGTTATTGCTATGTTCATGAGAAACAATGCAAGTCTTTTAGTAAGTCTAAAACTCTTCTAGAAAATCATATAATTTATAAAGATCTGTATTTTAGTTTTTGTCACTTCATTGCCCAGAAAATATTTATCAAGTTACTATTTGATGCAAGACACAATCCTTAGTACTATGTATGTATGTGTGTGTGTGTGTGTGTGTGTGTGTGTGTGTGTGTATTATATAATGATTTCTGCCCTGAAGGAGGTTATAAACAAAGTAAGAGAAAGGGAATACCATATAAAAAGACAGATAGAGGGGCGGCTGGGTGGCTCAGTTGGTTAAGGGTCCGACTTCGTCTCAAGTCATGATCTCAAGGTTCGTGAGTTGGAGCCCCACGTTGTGTTCTGTGCTGACAGCTCAGAGCCTGGAGCCTGCTTCAGATTCTGTGCTCCCTCTCTCTGTTCTTCCCCTGCTCATGCTCATGCATGCTCTCTCTTTCTCAAAAAAAAAAAAAAAAAAAAAAAAACGTAAAAGAAAAAGACAGGTAGAGGTGTGCCTGGTGGCTCAATCAGTTAAGGGTCCAACTTGGGCTCAGATCATAATCTCACAGTTCTTGAGTTTGAGCCCCACATCAGACTGCTGTCAGCACAGAGCCTGCTTCTATAACTCTGTCCACATCTCTCTCTGCCCCTTCACTCATACACACGCTCTACCTCTCTCTCTTTCAAAAATGAATAAACATAAAAAAAAAGATAGAAATAGAAATAGAGCCCATACCTTAGTACCAAATGGGAGACAGTAGAACACAGTGATTAAAAATGCAGGCTTTAGGGATGACTAGCCAGCTTTGTTGGTAGAGCATGCAACTATTAATCTCACAGTTGTAAATTCAAATCCTCCAAGTTGGGGGTACATATTACTTAAAAAACAAAAAATCTTTAAAAGTGCAGGCTTTGGCATCATACCTCCTGGGTATGCCTCCTGGCTCTATCATTTACTAGCCACAGACCTTGGAAACTGTCTGTGCTCATTTTCCTCATCTATAAAATGGGGATAATAATAGTACCAACCTTATAAACTTGTTGTGAGGAGTAAATGTGTTAGCATATTAATAAGTCTTAGAAGAGTGTCTGGCACATACATAGGACACACGTAACATTCCTGAACATAAAGACATCTTATGGTGCAATCATCGAGATGGGGAGAGAGTACTAAAGACTGTGGTCAAGAGTGGTTCAAGGATTCCTGATCTAGGACCTGGGGATTGGAAGGCTCTTTGGAGAAGAGGAAAGGGATGAGGGACTGGACAGGAGAAGCACTCCAAACAGGTCAGATAGTCTGCATGAAGGTTCAGAGCCAAGTTTATGTGAGGCACATGTGGAACAGAATGAAGGGAAGGGGCAGGGTTCCATACAGTAACAGTGTGGGGAAATGAAGCTGTACAAGGTATTCTGGATGGGATAGGGACTAGTCTCTGCCTACATCTCCACGGTCAAAAGCCAGCGTGTGCAAAGGTACCATATTTCAAAGCTGCCAGCAGGCTTTCCTTTTGTCTACAGCCTATGGTTT